AAAAAAAAAAAAAAAAAAAGCATCACATGTGGCAGACACATCCAGACAGGTTCCTCATATTGGCATATTTCACATGCAATCACTAAGGATGTTCTTCCATCCTAAAACATCCTACAACCTGCACAAAGATCTGATTATAAATTTCTCTGAATATATGCAAAAAATCCACCCAACATTACCTGTATGCATAGGCCACACCATAATGTTCTTCATGCCTTTCTTATCTGGGACTGCAATCCATCTCTACAACCAAGAGGCCAATCTTTCCTCTAGAGCTGCAATGGATATTGCTCTTTAGCCCCTCTGCACACAGATGTCAAAACCTTTGCTTTGGCCTTGCAATGCTTCAGGCTGACTCACTGCTCCACCTGCTGTTGAGACTCAAAGCATGCACATCTTGTCCTGGGCTGCAAGGCAGCACTGCCTGCAATAGAAACATCAGCTGTTGCACCAATGCAACTTGAGAGTGACAGCAGGAGTCTTCTAATAATCTGGAAAAAAGCATGTCCCTAAGCATGCAGAGAGAATAGCACGACAGAGCAAGAATTTGGGAGTAAGAGTGAGGACTGTGTTATGCTAGTCCTCCAAAGTCAGAAGAAAGGAAAGATCAGCTGCCCCCAACTAGGTACTGACACATCAGTGAATACAGCACAGCAGAGGATGCAGCCACAAATATGACAGAAGAACTGACAACTGCAGCTGCACTTGGTTGGTATTGCTCAGTTGCCCAAAATGCAACGACTTACATAGGATATTGTCTAGATAAAAGGCAATTCTACAATGCCTCAAGTCAAAGCCCTAAGTCACTTAGGCCTAGCAAAGCACACAAACAAAAGCCTAAACATTTTCAAAGTTCTGGATTCAAGGATAAAGTTAAGTCTGTAGCAATATCCAGAAAAAAACTGGAAACCCTCACTTCCTGAATGTGCTGTGGTTCAACAGCAGACTCAGCTTCTTCACACCAATGCAGATCAAGCAAAAATTCAATGTTTTGTGGCTTGTTTTTTTAAGATGAAGAACATTGTAATCTATTATCCTATGCAGCATCTGTTCACACTTCAGTGAATTCTTTAACATTTGTTTTTCCATGTTGTTTCAAGTTTTGTTCCAGAGATTATTAAAACTAATGGTCACATTTGTTAAAATCACTGGTAACTGTCCAATCCTGGTGCTGAAAAATGACCCGCTGCTTTTTGTTAAAAAGGCAAATGCCTGTTACTGCATTTATCAATTAGGCAGATTTTTTCATGTGCTGTTTGAGCAATACCTGACTGAAAGCACCACATGCAGAGGAGACATTATGATGGGCTATCTGATCTTAGCTCTGTGCTGGTGACTCGAGTATAGCATTAACCTTGTCTTATTCATCAAACAGTAGCTTCTAGGAGGAACATGTCTTAAAACCTTTGCCTTTCATTGAGATTTATACAGAAAAATTCATAAAATATACATTATTATGCACTATACAAAAAAAAAAAATCTATCAACACAAAAGTTTGACGTTTAGTTTATAAAAAAAGGTTCACAAAGGTTCTTTAAATGGTGTGTCCATTTCAGAGCAACCCAGAAGATTCAATATAAAACGAGGATGAGAACTAGGGACCACAGGTAACAGGTTCACACTGTGCCTGCAGTAAACCTGTAGGGTCGTTTGAAAAAAACATTTCAACTGATTGTTTACTCCAAACTCCAACATGAAGTCAAGCATTGACTACACTGCTTGTCACAAACAAACAGTGTAAGAATAACATCAAATCCTGGCTTAGTTAGAAAAATGTAAGTACATCCTGAGTAGTCTTCAGCTCTTCACCTGGGGCTACACTCTCTTCGTGTGTTGATCAACAATCATTAGGTGTAAAAATAACTGAAATTTTACAGCTCCAAGTTCATTATATAAATCAACTTTTTCAGGGTGCTTTAGAAAAAATTTTCCCAGTTCTTCTCTTCTGCGGATGATATGTAAGACAGCAGGAAGATACTCCTGGCTCCATTTTCAATGTCCTCTTCCTATTTTAAGAGGAAAGAAAAATATATCAAAAAATTCACATCTTAGCTGCATTTAAAGCAAGTTAATTCTATACATAAACACTGAATGAATTGATAGAATAAAATAATTTATCATCCTTATCTGTTCTCACAGTCCTTTCTGAATGCAAAAAACTAGTATGGTCTTACACAAGCACCAACAAATGCAGAATACTGTGCTTCAGTTAAATCTAGCAACTGGGATGCTCAGAAATGTCTTGCATAAAACTATAAACATCTACAAGACTTGAAAAATTACAACATTCTGTTAAGTATTTGTAAAGTTTAGAAATCAGAAGCCATTCTTATTACCCAAAGTTAAAAACACACACTCACCCCGAAAGCCTCCTCCACCACCTCTTCCTCCTCTGAATCCTCCTCCTCCACCTCTGCCTCCTCTGAATCCTCCTCTTCCTCCACCTCTTCCTCCTCCGAATCCTCCTAAACATAAGAAAGAGATTACTTTTTGAGGAGCATATAAATTCTTTGTTATGCATAACAATTTAGTTCACTGACAGCTTCTGAAAGTGAACAAACAACAACAAACTACAAACTGTCAATTGCTGGACAGTTACTGGGTCAACTGCTAATACCTTGTCTCTTCTAGGCACCATCTGCACATTTTAGGTATTGTTTAATATCTGATATACCATGACCAAAATACTAAAGGCACTAACAAAACTCCACAATTATCTTCTGTCACAGAGCAAAAAATTAATTACACATATTAACTAGTAATTGATTGCAATTATTAATAATTATTATTTATTAATTACAACTCAATAGAGCATTAAAACAAAGAAAACAAAACACTTTGAAATGCTTGTGCCTTGCTGCAGAAGGGCAGGGCATGCAGAAGAGGCCAGAAACTGTGATATATGAAAAAATGTAGTTCAGCTTTAATTGAGAACAATGCAGATGATGTTCAAAACGCAAGGGATGAGATTTACCAGGTCACTCACATCTCTCTCAAACACTGCATTTCAGTTATTTGATCTAAACTGGATTTTTAGAACATAAAAACTTATTAGAGAGTGGCCAAAGGAGGGCTACGAAGATGGTGAAGGGTCTAGTGGGGAAGCCACACAAGGAGTAGCTGAGGTCATTTGGCTTGCTCAGCCTGGAGAAGACTGAGGGGAGACTACATGGCAGCCTACAGCTTCTTCTTGAGGAGAAGTAGAGGAGCAGGCACTGATCTCTTCTCTCTGGTGACCAGTGATAGGACCCAAGGGAATGACATGCAGTTGTGTCAGGGGAGGTTTGGGTTAGACACTAGAAAAAGGCTCTTCACCCAGAGGGTGGCTGTGCACTCGAACAGCTCCCCAGGGAAGTCATCGCAGCACCAAGTCTGACACAGTTCAAGAAGATCTGGACAATGCTCTCATGCACATGGTGTGATTCTTGGGGCTGTCCTGTGCAGGGCCTGGAGATGGACTCTGATGATCCTTCTGGGTCCCTTCTAACTCAGGATATTCTATGATAACATACTAAAAATACAGATTTCACTGACAGTTTTGAGTGTGAATTATCTTTTAAATCAAGTTTGCTTTGGAGCCATGCTTTCTGTCTTTGTTGTAAATCAGCATTCTCTCCTTCCTATGCTTTGGAGCTGTTATTTAGCTAGTTAGAGAACCCTAGGTCTTGTCACTGGAAAGCTATCACCATCTTTTCTATTGAGTCAAACAGACACACGAATAACAATTTCTCTTTCAATACAGCTGCTGATATTCAAGTAGTCAATTGCAGCTTTAAAAAAAATGAACAAAAAACCTCAAAACACAAACACCCCACAAAACAAACAAACAAAAACCCCAACCCACATCACACTGAGTAGCTCCAATATTCTGCAGCTTGCATTCTTAGGATCTTACCTCTACCACCACCTCTTCCTCCACCACGTCCACCACCACGTCCTCCTCTACCACCTCCTCTGGGAGCACCTTTTTCTCCAGGTGGCCTTGGCAAAAATCTCTGAAGTGGCAGTAGCTTTGCTGGATCAATGTAAAACTGTAGGAAGAGTTCCATCAGGCTTTCAAAATACCAAGCCTAAAAAGCACATGAATATCTCCCTCTCTTTACAAATATCCACAATTTGGTCTTAACCCCTTTTGTCCTCTGCAAATAGCCACATAAAGAAAGCACACAAGAAATAAATCACAGAGTTAAAAAGTTACTAAAATATAAATTATATTTGTGTGAGTTTCATGTTTTACATCTTTTTTGTGGGGCAGGGAGAAGGAACAACGTGGCAGAAACAAAACTGAAAAGGAAGAGGAAATGAATGCCTACTTTTACAAAGGACAATCAGCTTTGAAGTCATTAAAAACTTAATAAAGTTTTTCTTATTATCTGCTGACATATAGAGCAGATATACCTGATGACATACAGTAAAAATCTGTAATTGAGATTACTAACCTTTTGCATTTTTTTAAATGAAGAGGCTTTCATGTTCTCAGACAGTTTCACTGAAAAATACTGTTAGTTTCTTTAAGGACCACAGCAGTAATAAAATAATAGAAACTGCAACTTTGATTACTATACAGAAGGCACAGACATTTTCTAAATTAGTATTTTATAAATTAAGCTGAACATCATCACAACTGCAATTAAAAGATCAGCAGAAACTATTTCCAATTCCTCTCATTTTTTTTCACAGTTACAAATATGGTATTTTGTGGTAGAACAATTTTTCCTTCCATGTACTAAGGTATAAGGAAGAACAAACCAGTGCAAAGAGTACCTAAAAACATAACTGTAAAGAAACAAATTTGCCTAGCAGTGGTGACCCTGTCAGCTTATCTGGACCTCAAGGCTTATCTGGAACAATTCACATGCCACAGAGGTTCTGTGAGTGCTGCTGCTTCTGGGTGCCTGGCTGCAGAAAGGTAAGAGCCAGCAGGGACTTCTGGACCAACCACATGCCCAGCCTCATCCTACAGTGAACTGGCAGACATCCTCCATAACTCCACATGCAGTCTGGTACAAATCCTTTAGCTCTCCAACATGCAAGTTCTTTGGTATGCAGTTCCCAAGACCAAAAACAGCTGCTGGCCAACCCTGTGTAATTAACAGTCAATATTAAATGGGGAAGCAAGGAGCTGCAAAATCCAGTAACATATTTTCTTCATATGCTATTGCAGGAAGAAAACAAGCCCCTGCAATTCAAATAATTCTGATAAAAAAGTAGATCTGCAAGTTAATACGTTCAGAGTGTGAAAGTGATTTAAACCTGCACATTTTACTTCACATTTAATGTGAGAGAGGAAAATGCATGCAGCAAGCAACCAACACAGATTAAGTCTTATGCTGTGTGACAGGGTTACTCTGCTAGGAGTCCTGCTTTTGCCATGGGTTCTGCCAATCTGGCAGTGACAACAGAATGGATCCAGAGCCGCTGTTGCTCTGCCAGAGGATGTGCTACCACAAGGACACTTTTATTAGCAGTTTCAGTAATGAACTAGATAATGAGCAATAGGACATCCTAGCATAAACTCACTTTATAATTAAACAATAAGCTGGAGCATGACCAAGGTCCGCTAATGCACAAAAAAAAACCCCAAACAAACCCCACACCCCTGATCCAACTCTTATGGGTGAGTAACCCACAGCAGAAGATTGGTCAGGCAGCTAGAAAAAGCAACAGTTCTAACCACCATGGACCCAAAAGACATCACCAGCACTGGTATGGAGTGAAAACCTCTGCCTGACATAAGGCACTCTGTCTTATCAAAGAAGCTTTAAGACTTAGTGTGAATGCAGCACCTACTGACACCAACAGTTGCAGCTAGACTTGTGTCTGTTCACATATAACTCGTAGCAAAGTCTCGAACTATTTTAAAATCCTAGAGAAATCCCATTTAATATCCAATCAGCTTATAAAAAATAAATATTGTACATCACACATTTTTTGAAGGATACAAAATCTCTCAGCTGTCCAAAGATTTCATCCACTTTGCCAATCTGTTCCTTGTTATCCAAGTACACTGGGGCATTGAAGTAAGGCACCTTGTTTTCTTCTGTTTTACATTTACAAACAATGTCATCTTCACAGGGATGCATGAACTCTCCCAACACTGAAATAAGAGCAAACAAGCTAAACCTCTAGAGCAGTCAGTCTAAATTAAATAAATACAGTCTCTACATGTAACTTACAAACTACCCTTTCTGGGGAGCAGTCAGTCTAAATTAAATAAATATAGTCTCTGCATGTAACTTACAAACTACCCTTTCTGGAGGTCCCTGGTCATAGCCACCTCTGTTGAAGCCTCCTCTTCCACCTCCCCGTCCAAAGCCACCTCGTCCACCACGATTAAAGCCACCTCTGTCACCGCCACCTCCTCCACGATTGAAGCCACCTCCTCTTCCTCCTCCACCTCCTCTTCCACGAAAAGACATTGTCTACTCCTCCTAGACTGTGGACAAAATATTTCACGTTTGATTCACTGTACAAATTAAAATCTCCTGTCAGCATTGTTTGTTAATTTAATGGTTAGCCCTCTTCAATCCTCACTAAAAACATGCTGGGCTATGGAAAGCAAAGTTTACACCTAAGACGTCACACACTGCAACACCTACCTGCAAAAAGTGAGTAGCATGTTTTTCACTCAACTGTATGAGGGTTGAATACTGTGCAGATCTCCGGCTCCATGAAGGAGTGGCACAAAGCAAAAACATCATAGAATGGTGTGAGTTGAAAGGGACCTTAAAGACCATATAGTTTGGCCTTGAGCAACCTGCTCTAGTGAGGAGGTGTCCCTGCCCATGACAGGGGGATTGAGACTAGATGATCTGTAAGGTCCATTCCAACCCTTAAATTCTATGACTCTATGATAGTTCCAATCTCCCTGCCATGGGCAGGGACACCTTCCACTAGATCAGGGTGCTCAGAGCTTCATCCAACCTGGCCATGAACACTTTCAGGGATGTCTATGGGCAACCTGTTCCAGCACTTCCACCACCCTCACAGTAAAGAATTTCTTCCCAAAAATCTAATCTAAGATTAGTCTCTTTCAGTTTAAAGCCATTCCCTCTTGTCCCACTCCCACATGCCTTTGCAAATAGTCCCACTCCAGCTCTCTTCCAGTTCCTTCTTTACAACTAGAAGGCTGCCGTACGGTCTTCCCAGAGCTTTCTCTTCTCCAGGCTGAACAATCCCAACTCTAGCACCCTATGCTCACAGAAGAGGTGCTTCAGCTCTCTGAGCATCTTTGTGGCCTCCTCTGCACTCGCTCCAAAAGCTGCAGCGTCTTCCCTGCACCGAGGACCCCAGAGCTGGATGCAGCACTGCACCGGTGGAGTCTCCCGAGAACGGAGTAAAGGAGCGGAATTACCTCCCTCGACTCGCTGCAGGCCGCGCTGCGCTGACTATGCCCAGATCCTTGTGGCTTCCCGGGCTGTCAGCGCACATTGCCGGTCGCGTCCAGCCGAGTCCCTCTCGGCAGAGCTGCT